AGAGAGTGCAATTAACCTCTCTGGGCTTTGAAGCAGGTGGTTGGCTCCAATCCCCATAAGTAATTGTAAAAAAGCACAATTTGCCCTGTGTAAGATCTACTAGTGTTTAAAAATACTTAACTTTAAGGGGACAGATGTGCAGACTTCCTCAGTTTTGTAACCCTGGTTTTTCAACAGCCAAACCCAACCTTATTCCAGCCCCTGCCTGAGACAATGCTATTTCTGATGTCCAGCTCCAGGACACGGTCTGGCTGCAGCCACCTAAGTCCTCTGCAAACAGGCCCACCCACCACTGGTCTCAGGAGCCAGCACTCTCATGGAAGAAGAGGTAGGAATGTCAGAGCGGCACATTGCGGGCATTTATAAAAGGTCAGAGAAACAAGGCACAGTGCTGCTTTGCAGTGAATGTGTAAGGGACGCAAAGTCTCATTATTGTGGCTGAGGCTATAATGAGAACAATTGTAACAAGATTTTAAAGTGAATGGTGCCTTGAGTAAATGGCTCATTCTCATAATAATCTTAAAACTGTAATTTTGTGGTATTTCCTGAACACCGCCTTTTCCACCTTTTCTGCAGCATTGTTCCTGGCATTGTCTTGTTAGCCCATTAGGAAGGACTTGCTGAGCTACTTCAAACCCTTACGCTGTGTGTTTTTCTTCTACCTTTTGCATCTTTTGACTTGGCCACAGCATGGCTGTATCAGTTTTTTTTCTGGTTTGGATAATTTTGTACTTTGTTTTTATTATTGCTACATGTTTGCTTTAGAAGCACAGTCTGAAATTACTTCCTCAGCCTGAGGAATCTGGCTCAGTGTTTGGGTAAGAGTTGAAGACAAAAAGAAAGCTTATTCTTCCTATCCTCTTCTTTTTCCCTCATTCAAATGGCTAGTTCCCTCTGTGCCTTCCCTGGCTCCTGTCCCCTTCTGCACTATGCACTGTCTGAAGCCATTGCTGGAGTCTCTCCTAAACCAACAAAGGGATGGAAAGTTATGCCTCATGTCTTGAGACAAATAAACCAACAAAGGGTTTTCCCAAACCCTTTTCAGCTAAGAAATGCTGAGTTTATTTAAATTCAGAATTATGCCTGATAGTAGCCAGTCTAGAAGATGTCAGACTTCTTGTTTTGGCTGTAGTTGTATGTTATGTCATGACATGTGAATTATTCTAGTGCACAATATTTGCCCATATGCACGTGTCAAGCGATAACATAAAAGTAGAAATTTTCATTAGGTTTTATTTCCCTTTTAAAATTAAAACTAATTGGCCAAGGCTGAATTACAGTCCTG